ACAACCTGCTCCCCAGCTCTTCAAAACCTGCGATGGAAGGCACGACGGACATGCCATTGACTCCTGGCATCCATCCTTCTGTGACGTTAAGAGCCCCAAAACAGATCAGCAACAGGTGAAACACCACATCCATAGTTGCTGCAAATGGGAAAGAATTCCTTCTGCGGCGACAGCAAAACACGAAGCAGCACTGCAATTATTCATAGGAGATGATGGTTGTCCAGTGCCATAATTAGTTACAGAATATTCATTAATTCTTCAACTAATTCACTTGGGGTGAAAAAAGGCATCAAAGTGGTGGACGGTGCATCTCCTTTTTTCCTAAAAAAAGCTAAAGTAAAATGCATGTTTTATTCAGATCCCTAAGTTTTTTTTGAAGGAGGTTTGATCTCTTCCTAAAAGACCTAAGGACAGAACACACAGCAACCACCTCATTTCGTGAACTTGATGCTGGAACCTCCGAGCCCAGTGCTCATTACAAATTCAGCACTGAAGCCACTTGATAGCAGACAGCTGGAAGTGGAGGATTAAGGGATGTCAGGAGCCAGGTCTCAGGCTAATTCTCAGCAGCCTGCCTTACTCTGCCCCTGAACACTTCACAGATCATTTTTCTTACCAACACCTATGACCCAGAAGAGCAGCTAACTTGAACAGCACCGTGCCTCAGCTCCCAACGTCTCCGCTCAGGGCGTGGATGCGGATATGGGCTGGTGACATCAGGTTGCACAGATTCATCTCCTGAACTGTACACATGTGAAGAACAACCACACTGTGACCTTCAAAAGAAAAAAAAAATCCCCCAAGCAGGGCATCCTGGCCACACTGTCACACGGGCAGGAGCACGGGGAGCGGAGCAGCAACAAACGACGGAGATAACGGCGGGAGCAGCAGTCCATCGCAAACCTATTCAAAAGGCACTAAACCTAAATTCCTGAAGCCAAGACACTACCCAACATTTCTGCATTTTGCCAAAGCCAAACCTCTCTCCTCTTCCTCCTCCTCTACAAATGGAGCTTGTTCATTGGCTCTTTACATTTAGGGGCTTTCACTCCACCTCACTCGGTCCTGTGAGAAGCGAGGCTGCGCGGGACGCAGCTTCCAAACACCCCTACATCGCTTTTATCAGCATCTAAGGGACAGCAAGCGTTTGCCACAGCCCGACTTCTCCAGCCACTGCAGTTTCTAGAGGACTATTTTACAACATCCTCAAGCCCGGCCATCGTTCCTCCGCCGCTTCCCCCGGGAGATTACATCCCCGCTAATTACTCTCACTGTCAGGAAGCTGCTTCCCCAGCAGAGCGGTGGCAGCTCAGTGAGTGACTGTGATAAAGTTTTACTTCGTCTTGCCCGGGCTCCCTTCTTTAGCACAGACACGCTGATCTATCAAATGGATAAAGGGACCTGGAAAAAAAACACAACAGCAGCTAGGGCAGGGGGAGAAGTAACCATTCAACTCCTACACCTGCACGAGAGTGATCAGACAGCATGGGCTCAGAACAAAGCAAAGTTGCTGTACACCCCTCAGCCTCTGTTACACAGCTTACTGTTCACGTTAGACATGCGTGTGCTGCCTTTCAGCCAGACAGACCTGGAACAGCTTATGATGAAGAGAAATGAGTTCAGCCCCTCCTGGCTCACGCTCTGCGGGTGGGAGGGTTTGCTGAGCAAACTCCAAGGGACCAAGGGACTCCAGGAGCGTTTCACACGATGCACGACGAGGCTCGTGCCTGAACCCAGGCAGATGTGCAGGGCTGGAGCTGCTCTGCGGAGGAGGAAGGCAGAGCAGATGCGAACTAATCCACCCCGGAAAGAGGGCTGGCAGCCGAGTCGGGCACCGAGAGCCCCCCTCCTCCTTCAGGAGTGCAAACACAGTTTACTCTCCTATACAAAATTCATAGTGAGCTGCCACTGCCGTGTGCTCATCTCCCATCTGCTAAATATTTACGAGCTGATTACAGAAAACAAATTTATCATTTTAGCCCTCAGCCAAGTTTGGAAGGATTCAAATATTTACGCTGACTAGGAGCTCTACCCCTCACACGCTTCCACTCCCCCACCTTGCTTCCCACTCCAGCGCAGGACTGAGCATTTTCGGTCCTCACCCCTCTCCCTGGGCAATACATTGCTGTTTGCTTTCATAATTTCTCTGGCTTGCTTGCAAGGAGTTTCTGTCTGACAGCAGCTGAGGAGGAGACCACGTGTGCATTCACGCTCCCGCGAAGGAGCCGGTGGGTCAGGAGGCAGACGGGACAAGCCGAGCAGATTCCTTTGCAGCACGGAGCACAAAGCAGTGCTGTCGGCAGCTGTGATTTGGGCCAGGTCCTGGGAGCAGGGGAGCTGCAACTGGGAGCAGGGGCGAGCTTTGCCAAGTGAATCATTTCTTCCCCATCCCGCCCTTTTGGCAAAGCCGGCACCACCTTCCACTTCCAACAAAGGGCATTGGCAGCACTCGGCTGGGGAAGGGACGTGACCCTTCGCATCCAAACAGCAGATTTTCCTGCTGTCCCCGGCCAGCGAGACAGAGCAGAGTCACCCCTGGCCCAGAGCGATGCTAGCTCAGCCTCGGCCACGGATCCCATCTGTCCACGGACACAAACACGTCCCTCCCCAACTCCCCGGCAGCCCGAACAGACACACCTACTGCTGGCAAGGCCAGTGGGCAGAATCCTCAGCTTGTTTGCTACAGCTGCACATGGATCACTTTCCTTCTCAGTTGCCTGCATAAAGGCTATTAAAATTAACAGAATAATGCATATAAATCTGCCATTGTTTCCCCTCAACACAGAAGAGCCAAATGGTTGCTAACAGGGGCGGCTCAACAAGGTTTTATATTAGCCTGGTAAATTCAGGGGCTGCAAGTTGCATCTAATTCAAAGCAGCTGCATTATCCCATTCAGGGAACTAATTAAACCTCCAACAGCAGCACTACATTTATGTTTAAATCTCACTGTTGCAATTATGACCAGCTAGATCAGCCTCCTTCTGCACATACCAATTACTGCAGAAAACCCCCAAACATCCCCCACAGGCGCATCTTTACCATTTCTTCACTATCACAGGAGTCTGCTTCAGGATATTTTATAGCAAGAACTGGCCTGACCACATAAGCCACTGATTATCAGCAGCTCCACATGATGCTGCTTCTCTAGAAAATTGCTCTGCCCCGTGAACCATGCCCCTCCTGCCGACAGCATTAAAGGGTGCAACCATTGCACCAGGAGTCAGAAGGAGACCCCAGATGCCTCTATACAGACTTTGGAAATTAAAGAACAAATCAAGCTGAAGGCAGTGAATCACCAGCTGCTGGCCTGTCTCCCTTCTTATGAGAATATTTCACTCCACAGAGTGTTTTTCAGTGAGAACAAAAACGTGCTGCAAGAAGAGGCTATCGCCATCTCACAGACGGGGAAACTGAGGCAGAAAGGAGAAACTCTTCTCCAGAGTCATTCAAGCTGGTTTGTGACAGCCATGAGACCAAAGCAAACCAGAGCTCTAAGCCACAGGATGCTACTACCAGACTAAAGCAATTCCACAAAATATTTAAATTACGCCAGAAACTGGGAAGACAAATAAACCCATCAGGTTTTGATAGTACAAATTCTCTGAAGTTAGACTTGCCCCATTGTAGGCAGATGCGCATTTTTCACATTCTTTCCCCGATTTCCTCACCTAAACATAACGGGAAGGAAAAGCAGATTTTCCTCTTGTGGCTTGTTAGGCTGACACTGGGTGGAAATGATGCTTTTTGTTTACAAGCAGGGAAGCAGATCTGCGAGTTCATTCCTCTGAGCAGAGGAAGCACAGGCACCCTAACACTTGACCTCTGCTACCAGTAAAGTCGTGCAGCACTGTAAAGCCGAAAGCTCCTTCTCTTTCAGTGTTTGCTGTAAGTAGTTCAGTTAGGCATGAAAAGCACCGTGAAAGTTAGCTGCTCCTTTCAAATAAGCCTTCTGCTGCACAATCTTGCACTCACAATCATAGTACAACTGACCCAGGTAATGAACAGCAAAGCCTCTAGAACCAAAACAGCTACAGAGGAAAACTGATCTATTTGGCAACCCTGAAACACTGCAGGGAGTGAGTGAGCGAGCTGAACGATGGGCTTGTACCGAGGATTCCCACTTTGCTTTTAGCATCTTCAAACACCCCCTCTTCCACCACAGAGGGTTTTATCTCCGAGTCGGGATCAGAGAGGCAGCTGAGCATCACTCAGAACACGGAGAACAGGCAAGCGGGGGCACAACCGTCCCACGAGTTCACACACCTGGCACGCACAGCTCCTCAGCCCCAGCACCACGCAGCAGAGAATCATCTCCAAAGAATGTTTCAGTAACGCTGCGGTGCTGAGTTTCAGAGGGACACTTAATCTTGCCTGAGTGGTTCACTAGGGCCAACTTTCTGAGCATGAAATATTTAACTATCCACGGGCCTCCTGCACTATAATAAAGTAACTTCTAACAAGCCTCCGAAATAAATATGTGAGGAGGAAAGCGGGAGCTATTAAATTCATAAAACACAGCCTAATTACTCTCTTCCTTCGATCTCCATGAACCCAGGACACCGCTTACTCCCCAGCAGCAGGAACCCAGAAACAAAACATCTCTGGATGCTGTGAGAGTCCACAGGGGAAGAACTGGAAAGAGGAGGTCAACAAAGATTTGTGAGGAGCACTGTTATCAACTCTCCCTCATTTTGGGAATGTAAAAATTTATCTGGCTTGCCTACAAGAAGTCAAGCCTTGTATTTGAGCAACTTAAATATCTTTGAAGAGCCCCTCACTTCTTGCAGTTCTGCTTCTCCCCCACTCCAATTAACTCTATCTTTTGGCATTTAACACTTAGAAGACTTACAAGTGAGTATTTGCCTCAAGGTGATGTGAGAGTTAGTAAAAGTAACGAAAACCAGCGAGGACCCCCTCCGAAGGCCAGCGTGGTGGAGAGCAGCTCACACTGTACAGATTCATGCCCAGCACAGCAGCTCTGCAGCAAGGTCAGCCTTACCTCATCCCACTCCGAAGCGAAGGACGGGGACTTCTCCAGCCTCTTCTTCCCAGTACTGCAGTTTGAGAGCGATTCGCTCCGGCTCCCCATGGCATCGTCCTCTGTTGGAGAGCAGGTCAGAAGATCAGAGTCCGATTTAGACAAGCTGCGGCTGAGTTTGAGCTCGGCTTTGGGCTTGCTCGCCGGGTGGGCTCTGCCCACAGCTCTGTCCCCCTCTTCCTCAGCACCGCCGGGGTGCTGCAGCACGTGGGGCGTGACTACAGTTTCAGGATCCGCCCGGTTGACGTGGGTGTGCTGGACGGTTGCGTAGACCGCTTTCTGGTTTTGGTCTGGAGAGCTGGTCCGTACTGATCCAGAGGCAGGTAAGTCAGCATCCTCCAGCTGCATAGCAGGTGGGTGGCTTGTAGCTTCCGTGCCTCCTTTCTCCGCAGAAGAAACGAGCCTGAAAGGGTCCTCACTTATCTCACAGATCGGGGAAGAACCGTGGAGCAACCCTGAAAACTGCTCCGGAACCTGGATGTCCTGGCCGTCGGCAGAGTCCTGGCTGCGGCTGCCACTGCTCCTCCTGTGGTCTTCAAGGGGATGAAAACAGAGGGGGGGGCAAATTAAGAACATGGAAGAAGCAGCAAAATTCCAGCTCTCCCCCTGCCCTCCCTCGCTGAGGGAGGGAGAGATAAAGAGAGAACAGTTCAGTATTGTTCTGCATGCTCAACTTGTACCCAAAGTCATGGCATTTACGAAATTCCAAACACTGGCCTGATTTATGCAGTCTGGCAGCTCTCCTTGTTGTTTTATTCCTGTTAACACTAACTATCAGGCTTGGCTATATAAGGCTAAGAGAAGTGCTAACTATATCCTGTAGAGAGAGCAAGTGAGGTAGGAGAAGCAGAGACAGAGGCTCCTGGAACATCTGATACATTTCCATAAAGGCCAGAGTGTTATTTAGAGCAGCACTCCCCGCTCTTGGCACGAGCTGCAGGGTGGGAGAACTTCTGGACTGTAATCAACCTGCGAGTTCCAAAACACGTTCCCCCAAAAAAGCCACTGCTTTCCTCCCTAGTGGTTTCCGAGTTTAACCTCTCCTCCTTACTCAGGGGAGAGAAATAAACAGTTTATGCAAGAAAAAACTTGATCAAAAAGTCTCTGCAAGCAAACCACTGAACACAGAATGATCTGATCTACTAACGCAGCGAGCTGCGCGGAGTACCAGCTGTCCCAGAAACACAACGCTGTTACTCAGCTCCTCCTGCACCAACATCTTTAATCTCGGGTACCAGGGTCCTGCATAAATCAGGAATAACTGACTGATCCCCGTTGCCAAGCATGTGCACAGACATACGTGTACTCACCATGGTCACACCACACACATGGTCACACCACACACATGGTCACACCACACACATGGTCACACCACACACATGGTCACACCACACACATGCATTTGAACGGTAAAAGCAAAACTTTGTAAAGCTGAGAAGTACAACTTCTGTTCATCAGGGATTTTATACCTGCCCATAATTGCTTGCAAATTTTAACCACTTCCATTTAGTGCTGAAGAATCTCTCTTCAGGCTGAGGATCAAAAAATGACGCTGCAAAGGCACAATAAAGCAAAGCACCCCGATAATGTGGCTCTGAAATGTGAAGAGGATGTTTAGATGTGAAGAGGAAATTGCTTGCTTTGCAAGACAGCAGCTCTTGGAAGCCAAGGCAAAGGAACCCTCATTTCAGTGAGGCAAAACACACTAATGAATTTTACTTCTCTTTAACTAAAAGCAGTCTATTAGCAACAACTGTGAGATCAACTCCTTCCCCCCAAGCATCCTTTCCAGCAGTAGGCTTGACCAGGTTGTTTCCAAACACTACCACCTCTCTGGTTTTGTGGTCTGTCCTCACGCCCAGAATGAGGGAGGAAAGGACTGAATTAGTCATTTCTCTTTGCAAGCCGCTTCAGATCCTGGGGTCTCACGTGACCTGTGTTTGATGAGCGTAGCTAGTCCCTCTACCAGGCATTTGTTTACTCCACAGAAATGCTAAAAGCAGCTTGCTCAGTTGGCAGCCGAGTCAGGAACAGCAAAAGCCTGAACAGAGGTTAACTGCCAGGGCAGCGCACCGGCAGACCTCGCTTCTAGCTGGGATCAAGTGATGCAAGGGCTTATTTCACTCTGGATCCTATGAGTTAAAGATTCCAGGACAATGAAGTAGTTGTTGATTATCTTGCACGGGCACACAAACCACAAGTTCAGCAACTGCAGTTGCCAAGGGGGAGGCACATCCCCGCGGGCAGGCGGCATCACCAGCATCACTCCTAATGCTGGCTGGGAGCGCCAACAGCAGCACCCGATCAGGAGATCTCAAGACCAGACTATGTTCAGTCACTTTGCATAAAGATACGAAGCTGTAGTGCTGGAGAGAAACCTTAGAAGAGAGAAGACATGCTGCATTCACGGGACAGACTGGTATTAATAAGCCAAAGCTACCGACCTGGTTAGAGGGACACAGCATTGATGGGACAGTCACGTTAACCTGATGGGGAAGGAAAAACTTTTGCAATATGGACAGCCTTTCTTCTTAACCTCTTTCCTTCCTTGGAAATAATTCCTTCCATGCCACAATTTAACCTTTACTGACATTTCTGCTGAGGGCAAAGAGGGCGGCCGGTGAAAGTTTCTGCCACATGCTGGAGCACTTGGGCCCAGCCAGAACAAAGTGCTCCAAATCCAGCTCCAGAGCCTCACAAAAGGGCTCCTGTTGAACAGAAATCACAGCCACCCATTCATCCTTGTGTGAAGGAGGACTTCGAAATGCAAGGCAGCTGCCAGGGAAGGAACGGATGAAGCAAGGGCAACAGCACTTGCCCAGATGATGTGAGGAACATCTTGAAGGAGACATTTCAGAGCGTGTACAGGCCTGTGCCGAAAGCTGCAGACAGAAGAACCAACAGAGGCAGAGAACGATCTCACTCCTTTCCACCACTGAGGCAGGAACAGAGGGTTCCCCAGGGGATCCTGGGGTTTCAAGAAATCCTTTTGGGGTTTCAACAAAAGGTGCCCCAGGATGGGCAGCAGAGAGGCCGGAACAACCACTGGCTGTCTCGTGCAAGTGTACCTTTTTGGGGTAGGTGACAGACGTAATTCAGCTGAGCTGATCACTTCTGTCATGGCAAAAAGATGAACAGTACTCATTTTTCAAGGGTGTAGTGAATTTGGAGAAGGGGAAAATAATACGTAGGTGCTAGAAAAGTAGAGATACCCCAGTTCTATCCATCTGCTGCACTTCAAGGGATCCAAAAGCATCCTCCTCCAGTTACAACTTTTAACTGGGAAAGGGAGTCATCCCTTAACACAAGGACTTCTGTCCAGCTCCCTAAGCTCATTTTACACCCAAGCACAGACATCTGACTGGTCCCGACTTCTTCAGCCAGTGCCTGCTGCAGGTGTCACCAACAGGAGGAACTTCCAACACCCACTGGGAACAGGAGCCCCTTTCTGGGTACAGACTGTCTGCTTCCCAGGGAGGATTCAATTAAGAGCTTCCCCGCCAGCAGCCTGATGATTCCAGACACGAAGCACTTCCCTAAACTCTTAACACTAAGCTGCAACCGCGCTGCCACGATCAA